GTTGGATCTTCGTGATGTAAAGTGCTATGGAAAGCTGGTTGTCTCTTATTGATTGTCTCCAAATTTGAGCTGTATCAGATGGTGAGAAAATCTTCATTTGAGGCTGAACTTCTGACGGTCTGACTCTAAGCTAAAAAAGTGGATTTCTTCCATTTTGCCATCATTTTCCCTAAGCTTCCTGAAAAGAGCCTTGAAACTACAAATGCATAGAAATCATAATAAAAATTCCTAAAACTGATTAAAACCTTTGAAAAATCATTTGAAATCAATGGTAAAAATGGGTACAAATACGGTGCTATAAAGAACCCGACTTAGCAAAAGACGGGAAAGAAATAAAAAAAAAGTCAAACCGAGTTACCCGCCAGGACATGCGACAGTTCGCCGAGTCGAGCGAACATGCTAAGGAGGCCCGCTTGGCGAAATCGGCCACATGGGCACGACCAACGCGCGGAAAAGAAAGAAGGCAAAATCGGCCACATGGCCACGTCCTCATACCGGTTACACGAGACGGCGAAAAGAAATGGGCATACTGCACTATAGTCGGAGGAAGTACAGAAAAGAGTCACGAACTAACAGTTACCCAAACAGAGGGGTAAACCCAAAAAAAAAAGAAAAGAGGAAAGGTGGGTCTGCTAGAAAACCGGTCCGGGTCCACAAAGCTCATCTTGAGTGAAAACCTTCAACCAGAAACCATCCCTCATTGATTGTCCACAGATTTCATTATTAGTAAGAGGGATCTTGAACTAAGAAAATAGATTCTGCAGTCAGTTTGATAATGATCGAGTGACAATCAGGGAAGCCAGACGCAGCAGGGAGACTGAAGTGTTGGAACAAAGAAGGATAATACGAGAACGCGGATCTGCTTCTCGCCAAAGAGACCCTGAAGTAGAGCTGCCGGAGAGAGGATAATCATCTGGAATAGAAACTCGGGTAGAATACCCGAAGAGACCAGGACCAGTAAGTCAAGAAGCCCATGCCGTTTCCCGAAAGGCAGGATTTGGAAAATTTCGAACGAAGGAGAAGAAGATGAAAGAGGGGAGCGGGTTAACGGTCCTAAGCCAGGAACCCAACTGTGAGGTGAGAGAGCTCTGGTTAACCGTGTCTGTATGGAGCAGAAAGCAGGACGAGCAAACGAAGGTGGGAAAGCGAAAAATATCCTCGGAAAAACCGACAGGGGTATGTAGGGAACCTGTGAAACGGAAATCGGTCACAATAAACACGAGGAAAAACTAATTATTCACAGGAGAGGAGAAGAATGCCATAGGTCCTGGAGTACAGGTAGAGCTCAGGACACGACAGGAAGAAGAAGTAATCATCCTCCTCTGAGGAATCTAACCATTTGGGGGAATTGATTGGAGTACGGCCGTCGCAGCAGAGGATGAAGTCGAGATAGCAGGGCCCGGGGAAAGACTCCGTCGCACGAAAAACGGATGCCATCATGGCACCAATAATGGTAATGGTATTGCTGGATAAGTCGGACATGACTTGAAAGACGTTAAGAAAACCCCAAGCCTTTAAAGAAAAATAGTGAGGAGTGATGCCAAACTCAGAGCACATCTGAAGCATGACCTGGGAGATGCGACAGTGGAACCCGGCTAAAAAGCACGAAGAAGAGACGAAAACATAGTCGAAAGGAGAAAAATTGACGGAGTTGAAAACGATGGGGCGGAGGCAGATAACACAAGACATGTTCAGAAAAAACTCGAAATGAGATAAGCAAAGGAGAACAGCGCAAACTCTGTTATTTATAGCCGATGGAATAGGAGCGAGAACGACGTCACCCGCTCGAGAAAGGTAAAGCGTCAGAGACACACAGAAAGGAAGGTGACAATCAGACAGAAGAAAAATCGATTGAGGATTGTGACCACTAAGGGACAGATCCAGAACGGCAAAACGCTCCAACGCGCACGTGAATGCAATAACAAGAAATCGGAGGTAAAGAGGGGATTTAAAGAAAGACTCTTCCCGTGGTTCAGACTCAAAGAAGGGAGAGAAGAAGAAATATTTTCTACAAAGGGAGAGTCCGCCGAAGAGTCTGAGCCCGGAGAGGATGAGAAGCCATCAGGAGAACCAGATACCAAAAGGCAGAAGACGAAACTCTCCAGAAGAGGAGAAAGACAATAAGGAAAAGTAAATAACAGAGGAGAATTAATCAGAAAAATAAAAAAAAATTCTCCCACATGATCATCTCACTACCAAATGGGTCTCCCCGATTCTCCTGAGAAAACTTGGTTACATCATTCAAAGTGTTTATCCCGACGAGACCAGCGCAATAGAGAATTAACCTGTTCGTTGATGTCGTGTCCCCAGAATGGCGTCCCTTAATCGGACCACCCGGGGATATGCCGATGATAGTCAAACATGATGTGCTTAATATTGTTTCTGCAATTAATATTAAAAAAAAACAAAAAAGTTGTAGGCACGGTTGTGTGGATACCATATGCAAGTGTAATTGCTTTATTATTCTAGTGAATATATTTTGAACTAGCTCACGAAAATACACGTTGGAGAACCAAATCTTGTGAAAAAAACTTTGTGACTTCTTTACTTTACGCCCTTACATACTCGTTATGCTCTCTTATCGCTCCGACGTATCAGTATGGCCCGAATCGAAACTAACACTATGTTCTTTTCAAATTGGAGTATGACATATTTATCTTGTCATGTTTAGACATTGTTTTATGAAAAATAATAATAATAAATCAAATGAACACTCTAGTGAATTACCAAACTCTTCCATGATATCTTTTAGCCAAATTCTTTCTTTACTGGCATTAATCATGCCATATATTCAAGAATTTTTGTTGAAAATTTTACTATGTGCCGTAACGCAGACCTCCAGCTCATAACATTCCCCTTGAACTCTAAAACAAAAGCTAGCGATTGAATATTATTTAGTCAAGATCAGAGGCATAATCTGATTACGTACAAAATTATATATATCAGAAGTTATCCTCTGAAGTAAAACATAACTTTGACCAATCCTTATATGTAATTCAGCAGCCACTTGATTTCTTTTCAGTGATCTCAAAAGGTGTTTTCCATGAATTTACTTACCATGCCCACTTGCATAACTAAATGTTAGTTGGTTTGGTTTTTGGTTTTATTTTCGAATAAACCAGTCATCAATTGGTCAAGTTGGACCTAAAATTTTAGATACTCTAAAATGCATCTTAACTAGTCAAGCCCTAATCTGTTCTGAAGTATATAAATAGAATAACCAAATAAATAAAAGATCATTTTGGTATATACCAATGGTTGACCGATTAATTGAGGGCATACTAAAAAATAACTAAAAATTGAGTCGTCTATGCCACATCATCAAATCTTCATGTTTATACTCCTACAACCAAATAACGTAGGTACTAGTTTAGTCTGCCAAAAAGTAGGAATAAACCGACATATGAATTTAATGCAAATCAGCTGGGATGACATATACATAAAGGAGTTACTGCCTATTTAATGTATATATATATCCGATAACTACATATGAGTGTTATCGTTTGTCCAGATTATGCTAACAATAGTATGTAATACAAGTTAACATTTTAACAATGCTTATTGTTACATGTTAACAATGATATATGTTAACATCTTTACTTGTTAACAATGATATATGTTAATATCTCTACTTGTTAACAACCATATATAAATATTGTAACATGTTAACATAATATGTTACTATGGTGCAATAAAATATATGATACTTGTTAATGTGTTAATAAAAATATTAAATATTTATTAAATGTCTGTCTTTCTCTTTCTTTTCTCATTGTCGTTTTCTTTTTCCTCTATTTTGTATCGAATAATGCAAACGGTTGCGTGTGAAACAGACATAATATTTCCCTGACACATTTTTCTATATTCTGGACTCACGCCATGAAAGAAAAGTGAATTGAGAGATTATATGTTTTAGTGGTTTTATGGACTTTTTACAGTTAACAGTATCTGGTTAAACATACTTTTTAGGACCTGTTAATTTCGATGTTATCTGTTGGTATATACTCATATTATTCATAAATAAACAAATCACAAAAGAATTAAAAGAAAAAAAAAAAATAAGAAATGAGAGTTAAATCCTAGTCTAGCTTTAACAAAGTCTTAACGGCTCATCCAATGCTTACTAGTTTTTAAACTTCATTCTAGAAGTTTTTTAGAGGATTTGAGCTTCTCATAGATTCTTTCAGAATTCTCAATTTTTAGTTTAACTTGATATTAAAAAAAATGTGAAGAATCTATCAACGATGTACCAAATATGTCTATAACATATGAGATTATTTAGTTGAAATATTTACAAAAAACATTTGTGAAAATTAATATATGAAATAAATATTTTGAATATTCCTATTTATATGACTAAAATGAATGGTATGGAATCTAAGGTTTTGAAAAAGTAAAGATTATATTATTATTTTACCTTGTCAATTAATAATATAGGTTAGATTTATTTTCTTACTTGAGAAAATTGATTTAAAGACAAGATAATATTGGTTATGTTTTGAATTGAAATGGTAATAGTAGATATCTATATAAATGAATATATATTTGGCACATTTATTTAAAGTATATTTAGATAATTGAGAGGTTAAACCATTTTTATAAGTAATTAATGACAAATAAATAGTACGACCTCCCCCCCCCCCTCCTCACGTGTCCGGTAGAATCATGCAAAATAACCCAAGTCAACCAACCAGAATCGTCGAACCGGAACTAACTCGACCTTGATCGACTGTCTTGCAGTACCAAATGCAAAAGTATTATACGATTTCTTTGAAAAGAAAACTAACTTTATCGGTTTGGTATCTAAACTACCAAACCCGATTCGAACCACGTGTTGAACCAAATGTTAAACCGTTTATATGTCTCACACAATTATTATAAATACGATCATCTCTGTTGATCTTCTTCATTTGTGGTCGTGTTGTTTCACTAAAACAAAAGGGCTTCGAAACTTCTCTTTACTTCTTTGATTGGTTTGGATTTGTCCTGTTCATCTTGAAATGACTAAATCATGGACTTTACTCTCTGCTCTTTATCCTATCGTTGGGTATTTATTTGATTTTTCGTATTACTTTCTCTATTTTATATATAGGTTTGATTCTTTTTTTTTTGTTAAAAAAAAATCAAAGGATTTCCATCATTTATATTATTAAACTAACAGTGTGATTTGGTGTTTTGTTTTCTGTTTACGATCATATGCAGGCCCATGATAACGCTACTTTATCCGTTGTAAGTAATTTCCTATTGCTTCTTCTATACCTTTTTGATAAATTTTATTTCAAAAATCTAATTTAATTTCTTTGTATTTATATGATATTGATAAAGATATGCGTCGGTTAGAGCAATTGAGAGCCCATCAAAAGTAGACGACGATCAATGGCTTGCTTATTGGATTCTCTACTCTTTCCTTACTCTCTCGGAACTCATTCTTCAATCTCTCCTAGAGTGGTAACAATAATATCTATGGTTTTTGTGTGTTATGTTTTTGTTATGATAAAAGTATTTAAAAAATGAAAAAAATGTTGAAAATATTATATAGGATCCCGATATGGTACACGGCAAAGCTAGTGTTTGTGGCATGGTTGGTTTTGCCGCAATTCAGAGGAGCTGCTTATTTATACAACAAAGTCTGGAAGGAACAGTTTAGGAAGTTTGGCATCCTCCAACCTAGACTCAATATCAAACCTAAGGTGAATTAACTCATCTTTCACTCTCTTTTCTTCCTTTAATTTCCTATATAGCCTAAGTTTATATCTTACACTCTTAACTAGTTATGTTAAAATATGTTTTGATACCCACGACTACCACGAGCCTAAAAGGCTTGGTATAAAGTTTTTGGCTCGTGATCTGTTTAATGATGTGTAAAACTAAATAGATTCGAAGAGGACTGTCCGGTTTAGGCCTGCTTTTATTACATATATATATTATTACAATAACTAAAATATACAAAAAAATGTCTGTTTGGACCGGTTTAAGCTCAGCGTGATTGAAGTTAAACAGACACATATATAAACCGCCTTAAATAGACATGGCTTAAATGGGCCTCGATAAGCCATATTAACAACACTATTCATAATGCATATCTGTGTGCGGGAAGAGGTTGACCCTTCTGCTAATTGGTTTTTCAGCCTGAAAACAAAATCTGTCATTTTTTGAGTTTTTATAGTCTAATGTCTTTTTTTTTTGCCAATCTGATGGACTATTAAAGTCCAAGGGCTAGTCATTTGGGGTAAAAAATTGTTTTAAATATATATCGAGTCCCCTAGTTTGCGAGCAACAAAAAAAATGGGATTTAATGCTTCAATCAGGGTTAGATCAAATATGATTTAAAACGTGATTAATTGAAAACGAATTTGGTTCATAAAAAATCCCATTTATTTATTTGGGGGTTCAAATTCAAAGAAAAAGCAATTTTTTTTTACAAAGCTAAATAATAGTTATACCAATAAAACTTATTAAAATTATACTATCATGGGAAAATTTTACAAAAAAATACTTAGATGGCTTTCTAGTTTTTAATAAATAGGACTTCTGGTTTTCTTTATTGATAAATAGAAACGCTATTTGTATTCACAGTCGTTTTCTTTTAAAATTTGGTGTTTCGAGTACAGGCAAAATACCAAGCTATCAAAATAGATTGGGGAATACCAGGTAAAAAAGAAAACCAAGAAAATAAAAAAGAAGAAAAAGAAAAAGGAAAAAGAAAAGGAGGAAAGGAGAAAAATAAACAAAAAGAAAATCAAGCAACAAAGAAAAATGGACAAAAAGGATATTGGGCAAAAAAATACTTCTTTTTTATGTATACATAGAGTTCTAAGTTTAAGGTTTCATTTATAAAAAAATATAAAGAAATATCACAAAGATTGAGAAAAAATTAACAAAAAAGAAAGTTTATAAGAGAAACCAATAAATTATCAACATGGTAATAGCACCAAAGTTCTGAGTGTAATATTTTAGAGTAAAAATTTTCGTTTAAATTTCAGTTCAGTATTAATTCAACAGCAAAAGATTAGAAACCTCCCGAAAGTACGACTCTAAGTGCGATTAGGGTTTTTCTTCGCATTTTGCAATTTCACCTCCGAATCATTCGGGTTTTCTTCAATTTCTCGTTTCTTTTTGCTAATTCCAAGTCATGGACCGTGAGCTGTGGCGTGAATTGCAGTAATTGGACTTGGGATCTACTCTTCAACCGTTGCAATTGCAACAGATGTTCGAAGAAGGAATGCTACTGATGACCGATTGAGTCTGGTGGTTTGAGGTCTCAATCTTGCTCAACAAAATCAAAATTTTATGCGAGATACTCTCCCCAGAGCATGGCATCTCCATGATCGAGTTCATGTGCAGCTCAACGATGATGGTACCATCCAATTTTTCTTCAGATCCAAGCATCAATTGCTATCTGGTATAGACAGAGGACCCTGGTCTTTTAAAGATTGGATGGTGGTAATGGATCCCTGGACTCGAAGGCTATATCCTAATTTCCTCCGCACCATCTCTTTCTGGTTTCAAGTCTTTAGTCTATCCAGTGAGTATCGTAATCAAGCGGTGGTGGAAAAAATCGTTAGGCAGATGGGTCAACTTGAAGGGTTAATAATTATAGAGCCTACTCACGATACTCCAGCAGAGGTATGGGTTCGACTGAAGTTTGATGCGTATGAGCCTCTGTCTTTTGTCCGCTACGTTCAACTTGAAGAAGTAGGACCCCCGGTGTTACTTCGTTTTCAATACGAAAGACTTAAAAAGTTATGTATCACTTGTGGGAGGCTTACTCATGAAGACCTTGTTTGTCCATGGGCGAATCAAATGAACCCGATATTGCTTCCTAATTCTGTGGAAGAGCAGCATCAAATCGATGAACAACCACACATTGAACAGAAGCAGGTTGAGCAAAATCAAGACTTAATTGAATATGATGCTCCTCTCGAAGAAGTTCATGCTGAAGAGTATATGCAAGATGTTCAACCTTCTTCTACCCGCTTTGGTCAACCTGGTGCTGTAGTTGAAGCAGGTGGATCTTCTGGTCATAATGCGGGTTATAAAAGAAAGGTTAAAGACACTCTTCAAGACGAAAGTAGTCCTTCTCATCGTCAACGTATCTTGGAAAATAATGCTAATGAAGGCTCGGTGGTTGCCGTAAAACCACCACAGGCGCCATGAAGATACTTCATTGGAATTATCAGGGACTGGGGAACATGATATCAGGAGAACTCACCAGTCTGATATCATGTTCCTCATTGAAACGAAGAATGGATGTAAGATATTAGAAGACCTGTGTAAAGATCTTAACTACAAGCATAGTTTCATTTTGGCGGCTAATGGGAGTAGTAGAGGCTTAGCTATCTTTTGGGATGATAAGGTGAAGATAGATTTTCTAGGATCTCCCACTCTCAATAAAACTGATATGTATATATCTGATGATGTAAAATACTTTGTAATGTCATATATCTATGGAAGCCCTGTTCAAAAGTATCGAAATGCTCTATAGAATACTATGACTGCTATGGCTGAAATAGGTGCTTCCACGACCAAGCCCTGGTTATTTTTTGGAGATCTGAATGATATCAAGTCCAACGAAGAAAAGCAAAGAGGTCCTCTCAGGTCAGAATATTTGTTTGCTACTTTTAGAAGAATGATATCTGCTTGTGGATTGCAGGAAGTTAAGATGGTAGGAGGAATTTTCACGTGGACTGACATACATATGATGTCAAAACCAAGATTGATCGAGCAATGGTAACATGTGATTGGTTTGATATGTTTCCAAAGGCATATGTCCAGCTCTTACCCTGGATAGGCTCAGATCATCGGCCTTTATTGCTGCATACGGATCCAGGTAAATGGAAACATTATGGCTTTTTTAAATATGATAATCGATGGAGAACTAATGCTGCAGTACAACAAGTTGTTCGAGATTCCTGGAGCCAATATTGTAGTCTTATACCTCCATGGAAATTTAGCAAGGCTCTTGGTTATTGCAGGCATGCTTTAGCCGATTGGAAGCATCAAAATAAACAAAACTCTCAAAAGAATATCTACGAGCTTAAGCAAAAACTCCATGAAGCGTAGGACTCTCCTAACTTAGATTACTCTTTTATTGGAGAACTAAAATTAAGAGAAAAGAGGAGAGGTCCATCGCATTTTTTTGACTTTGTAAAAATAAGGGTTGTAATCTAAGCTTCATAATGAGTATTTAGGTTAGAAAAGGAATTTTGGAAGACTAAGAGTCGAATACAATGGCTTCAGGCAGGTGATCGTAACACAAAGTTCTACCATGCCAAAACAAAGCAAAGAAGAAGCTACAATAGAATAGTCTCTATTAGGGACGACGATGGTATCAATCATATAGAACAGAAGGAGATCCATAATGCAGCAGTTAAGTATTTTCAGAATATTTTTAAATCATCTTATTGTTAAATTTCTTCTAAACTCTTGGAAGGTATTCCCACTACCATTATGGAAGATATTAACCACTACCTTACCAGGCCTGTTACAGAAGAAGAGATCAAAAAGATTGTGTTCTCCATAAATCAGGAGAAAGCCCCTAGTCCAGATGGTCTAAATGCCAGTTTCTTCAGATATCACTGGACAACTCTTAAGACAGGTATCCTCAACTATGTGAGATTATTCTTTGAGCAAGGGTACTTAGAACCAGAAATGAATCATACCCACGTGTGTCTAGTCCCTAAAGTTGAATCTCCCACATCAATGAAAGATTATAGGCCGATTAGTCTATGTAATGTAGCCTATAAAATTATATCCAAATTGTTAGCTGAAAGACTGAAACCTTGGTTACATCAAAGCATCTCTGAAAACCAATCGGCCTTTATTCCAGAAAGGCTAATAACGGATAATGTCCTTGTTTTCCATGAGCTTCTCCATTCTCTTCATACGAAGAAATTGACTAACAAATTTTTGGCTGTTAAATTGGATATATCTAAAGCCTTTGATAAAGTTGAATGGCCTTTTTTAGATACATTTATGGAGAAAATGGGATTCTGCGCTACATGGAGGAGATGGATCATGACCTGCGTGACATCAGTTACCTATTCTGTTCTCATCAATGGATGTCCAACCAAGAAAATTTATCCTCAACGGGACATCCGTCAAGGTGATCCTATATCCCCATCACTTTATCTTATTTGTACTGAAGGATTATCTCGTCTCTTACAAACAATACACTGCAAAAGGAAAAATTCATGGTTTTAAGGCTTCCAGAAATGGACCACAAATTTCTCATTTATTGTTTGTCGATGACTCATTATTATTTTGCAAAGCAAGTGTGAAAGAGAGTCAATCCCTACTAGAAGTACTTAAAACCTATCAATTAGCCTTGGGCCAGGAGATTAATTATCTGAAGTCGGCCATCACAATTAATAAAGGTATTCCTCTTTCTTTAAAATCCTCCATTATTCAGACAATGAATATTCATAAAATTGGAGGATTAGGACGTTATCTTGGCCTCCCTGAACAAGTAGGTCGAAATAGATATGATTCATTTTCATATCTTGTTCAGAGAATGCAACATAAGGTGGGCAACTGGTATACAAAGTTTTCATCTCAGGCTGCAAAAGAGGTCTTAATTAAAGTTGTATGTATTGCTTTTCCTACCTATACGATGTCTTGTTTCATGTTACCGATGAAGCTTATCAATAAGTTACAATCTCATATCACACAATTTTGGTGGTCATTAGATATTAATAAGAGGAAGATCCCTTGGGTATCATGGAACAAGATTACAAAAGCCAAAGATCAAGGAGGTTTAGGAATCAGAGATCTGAGAGATTTCAATAGAGCTTTACTTGCAAAGCAAGGGTGGCGACTTATGAGATTTCCAAATTCCCTCTTTTCTAAGGTATGTAAAGCAAAAATACTTTCAGAAGACCTCTTTTTTAGAAGCTAGGTGTAATCGATACTCGAATTATGCCTGGAAAAGTATTTTTAAAACTCAAGATTTATTGAAAACAGGAAGCAGATGGAGAATTGGAAATGGAAAATCTGTCAAAGTTTGGAATGACAATTGGCTGCCTACTAATCCCTCAAGGCCAGCACAAGGGCCTGGATCGCAAATACAACCAAACCTGACAGTTTCAGATTTGCTTATTCCAGGAACGGGGGAATGGAACCAGCTCTTACTCACGCAATATATCAGGAACGAAGATATTCCCCTAATACAACAACTTCAACCGAGTTCAACCAATATAAGTGATCATTTAGCCTGGGTATTTACAAGTAATGATGATTATTCAGTCAAGTCGGGATATTATGTGCAAACAATTTATCAGAATCAACAAGGTGAGGATAATGGGCATAATTCTTCAGTTAATCATCAGTTTTCTCCAATTTTTAAATCTATATGGAAACTAAGAATACCGCCCAAATTGAAGATGTTCTGGTGGAGAATTGCACATAATAGTCTTTCTGTTGCTAATACTTTGAATATAAGAGGCTGTAACATTGATCCGAAATATCCTCTTTATGGAGATGCAGAGGAGACCGTTAATCACATTATGTTTCAATGCAGACTTGCAAAAGAAATATGGGAATTAGCTCCTCTTTATGCTCCATCTAGCTCAATGCTTCAGGACCAGAAGTTGACTCAAAATCTCCTTATGTTGATCAATCTGTCCCAGTAAATAAAGGTATTATTCCTTTATTTCCTTTTCTGGGTTAACGAATATAGAAAATTAGGAATAGCTTAATCTTTCAGAATAAAAGACACCTTATTCCACAGATTATCAATAAGTCACTCATTGATAAAAAAGATATGGGAGGAATCACAGAATTGGAATGAGGATGTTATTTCACAACCTAGTTTACCAGCAAACAGAATAGATCATTATAGTGTCTCGGAAATGTTCAGGAACTAAGGAAATATTGCTGTATTGTAGATGCCTCATGGAAATCTTCGGACACTAGAGCTGGTATAGGTTGGAGTCTATATAACCCGAGAGGACGTAATATTCTCATGGGTAAGTCTTCTATTGCTCCTACAACCACACCAAAAGAAGCCGAAGCTGTTGCACTCTTAATGACCGTAAAAGAGCTTCAGAAACTATTGTATGAAAATGTGGTAATTTTAGGAGATTGTAAGACCTTGTTTGATGATCTTAATTCTCTTATTGACCAGCAAGCTCACTGTGGGAGGTGGATCAACTCTTCAATAGCTACTCAGGTTAAGGATATAATTAATCTTCTAAGGCATTCAGGGCAGATGTCATTTAAACATGTTAAATGCTCTGTTGTATCAGAAGTAGATAGAGTAGCTAAAATGACTCGGGAGAAAGGTTCTCGTTATGTTGTTTCTTGGACTATCTTGTAATGTTTTCGATTGTTCATAATATAAGTTGACGACAAAAAAAAAATTTCAACAGCAGAGAGGAGCGAATGGGTTTTCTTGGACACACACAAAACAAGTTATATTCAATTAAAACAGGTTACATGCTGGCTAATCAAATGAAGGAAGATGAGGATCATTAATAGATCGAGATTCGAGTATCACTCCTCTAAAAAGGAAAATTTATATTCCAAAAACTTAGAGAAAATACAAACACTTTTCGTGGCAACCCATTAATTCAGGATTTATCCCACTATGTAGTTGACTTGCTGTAGACAGTCTTCTGTATGTCGTGGTGTGTACAAGGCCAGATATCAGCTATGCAATTGTGAGTCGATTTCTAGCCAATCCAGACTGTAAATGGATCCTCCACTATTTACGTAAAAGTTGTCTACTGGAGCCTCGTAACATGTTGGCGAATAGCTTCTAACTGAGGGTTCGATCAGCATCAACTAGTTAATGCTTGTTGAGACCTCTTCTCTTTTCCGCACCAATCTTAATTGACTACTACATCTATATTTGCGTGTATAGCTCAGTTGGTAAAGCATTGGGCTTTTAACCTAATGGTCGCAGGTTCAAGTCCTGCTATACTGATGTGATCCTGGTAAGGATCAAGTCCTATTATACTGATGTGATCCTGGTAAGGATCATGTCCTTGATCGACACTCTAATGACTGGAAACGAAAGAGATAGGCCTTGCAATCAAACAAGGTTTGAATCAAGGGATGAGGAAGTGAATGGACACACACAAGCGTTGCGGAAGACTCTTGATACACCGGCTTGAATCTCCTAAGTGATATGACACACACAAAGTTGATTCAAATTGTTTGATGGATATAACACACCAGAAACATGATCTCATTTTTTGAAAAGAGTTTGAGAATAAAAGATAAGATGGTTTGATACAAAGAATTACTAGAGAATATAAAGAAGAAAGAAAGAAGAGATGAGTATGGCAAACATTAAACACATCTCGGAAAAAGAAAAAAACACGCAAGTTGGCAAGTTTGAATTTTATTTAGACGCTCCTCTTGTTTGGCACAGCTTGGGCATAAGGCTTTGTGGACTTAGGCGAGTTAGAGATCCATTCTTGCCTCATTAAAAACCTATCTCAAGAAAATCTATTGGGACAAAACTTGAGATAGGGAAAAAGAGTACAAGCCTGGATCTCAAGCCCACTTAGCCGTCTTGGACTTGGATCAGAATCAGTGTGCTTGTGATCATCTCTTTTCCCTCTTGAATCGGGTCAAGACCTTTGATGATAGCTCTAATGGTTTGCTTAAGCTTCTTACTCTTTGATCGAGTCATTGGGCCGCTTGGAACAACTAAATCATCTTCTTGATCAGCTATTAGTTCCTCAGCTACTTGCTCTCCATCTTCTAGTTCCAGCTCCAAGTTTCTATTGCTTTCCAGAATCACATCATCCCCTTCTTCTTGAAAAAGATTTGATCTCAAATCTGGATCATCTGCACAAAAAGGAACAAGATCAGAAACATTGAAACTAGGACTGATGTTATACTTACCTTGGAGATCAAGTTGATAAGCGTTGTTATGAATCTTCTTTGTGATCTTGAATGGACCATCAACCCTCGGCATAAGCTTAGATCTCCTTTCGGCTCGGAATCTTTCTTTCCTTAGGTAAACCCAGACTTGATCACCAACATCAAAGATCATCTCTCGCCGTTTCTTGTTGGCTTGTTCAACATAGAGCTTAGTCTTTTCCTCTATATTTTTCTTGGCTTTCTCATGGATCTGTTTTACTAACTCAGCTTTCTTATGTCCATCAAGGCTAGATCTTTCACTCAAAGGAATGGGAGTTAGATCCAGACGGGATATAGGATAAGAGTCATAAACAATCTCAAATGGGGAAAACTTAGAAGCCGTATGTATCGAATGATTATATGTGAATTCAACATAAGGCAAACATTCTTCCCATAACTAATGCACGCAGTAAAGTGGACAGAGTTCTATTGACTACTTCAGTTTACCCATCAGTTTGTGGATGACATATAGTAGAGAACAGAAGCTTAGTTCCTAGTTTAGACCATAATTTTTTCCAAAAATAACTAAGAAACTTAGTATCACGATCAGAAACAATGGTTCTAGGCATGCCATGTAAACGAATTACTTCTTTGAAGAACAATTTAGCTACATGAGATGCATCATCTGTCTTATTACATGCAATGAAATGAGCCATCTTTCAAAATCAATCCACAACAACGAATATGAAATCTTTTCCTGTTTTAGTCCTAGGCAAACCAAGCATGAAGTCCATATAGATTTCAACCCAATGAGAAGGAATAGGTAAAGGAGAGTACAAATCATGGGGCTTAACCTTAGACTTAGCCTGTTTACAAGTTGCACATCTCTCACAGATTCTCTTCACATCTCTCTTCATGTGCGGCCACTAAAAGTGATCCTGCATCACTTCTAAAGTCTTGGTAATACCAAAGTGACCCATAAGACCTCCTCCGTGAGCTTCCCTGACTAAAAGATCTCGGATAGAACAATTAGGGATGCATAAACGGTTATCATAGAAAAGAAAACCATCTTGCCTAAAGTATTGATCTTTAGCAAACTTTTCACAAGACTGGTATTTCTCTCCAAAGTCGGAGTCAGATTCATATAAGTGTTTGAGTTGCTCAAATCCTATAAGCTTAGCATCAAGAGTAGAGATCAAGGCATACCTCCGAGACAATGCATCGGCAACTACATTGTCTTTACCTTGTTTGTACTTGATCACATATGGGAATATCTCTATGAACTCTACCCACCTTGCGTGTCTCTTGTTGAGCTTATGTTGTCCTTTTAATTGCTTAAGAGATTCATGGTCCGTATGTATAACAAACTCCTTAGGCCAGAGATAGTGTTGCCATGTTTGTAGGGCTCAGACCAATGCATATAGTTCCTTGTCATATGTGGGATAGTTGAGTGTGGCGCCTCCGAGTTTCTCACTAAATAATGCAATGGGCTTCCTGTCCTGCATCAAAACAGCACCAATACCTATTCCAGAGGCATCACATTTAATTTCAAAGGTTTTAAGGAAATCAGGAAGAACTAAGAGGGGAGTGTTAGTTAGCTTATCCTAAAGTCTGGAATGCCTCCTCTTGTGCTTGTTCCCACTTGAAACCAACTTCTTTTTTGATGATTTCGGTGAGTGGAGCAGCGATAGTGCTAAAGTCGTTCGCAAATCTTCTATAAAACACGGCTAAACCGTGAAAACTTCTCACCTCATTCACGGTTTTATGACTTGTCCATTCTTTGATTGCCTTCACCTTCTCTTCGTCGACTTTGATTCTATCTGCGCTTACAAAGCCTAACAACACCTGGTTATCTGTATAGAATGTGCATTTTTTAAGATTGGCATACAGTTTCTCCTTCCTAAGCACATCTAAGACAGATTTCAAATGCAAAATGTGGTCACTTAGACTCTTACTATAGACCAATATGTCATCAAAGTAAACGACCACAAACACACCTATAAATGTCCTAAGAACATGATTCATTAGTCTCATAAAGGTGCTAGGTGCATTTGTCAAGCCAAAAGGCATGACTAACCATTCGTATAGGCCGTGTTTAGTCTTAAAAGCGGTTTTCCACTCATCTCCTTCTTTCATCCTAATTTGGTGATATCCATTTTTGAGATCTATCTTAGAAAATATGCTAGACCCATGCAGTTCATCTAACATGTCATCTAATCTAGGAATTAGATGCCTATACCTAACCGTTATGTTGTTAATTGCTCGGCAATCAACAAAAATGCGCCAGCTTCCATCTTTTTTCGCACAAGTAACACCGGCACGGCACAAGGGCTCATACTCTCTCTGATATTGCCTTTCTCCATGAGCTCATTCATCTGTCTTTGCAGCTCCTTAGTTTCCACCGGATTGGTTCTATAGGAAGGTCGGTTAGGTAAAGAGGCTCCGACAATGAAATCTATCTGATGCTCAATACCTCTAATCGGTGGTAACTCTTTGGGATTATCCTCAGGGAATACATCTTTGTAAGCCTGCAAAAGATCAGTCAATTCATTCGGTAGCACCGGTGTAATGTTAGTATACTAGCAAGTGATTCCTTTAAAACGAACAATAAGACCGGTTGCTTGGATATCAAGGCTCTAGCAACATCACCAGCTTTTTAGAAGAAGTTTGATGGTTGTTGAGGATATCTCCTTCTGTTTGAGTTTAAGTTGATCCTTGTAAACTTCTTGAGGTGTTAAAGGGATCAGAGTAGTTTTCATGCCATTAAAAACAAAAGAGTGTTTATTAGTAAACCCATCAGGTATTGCCCTCCTATCAGATTGCCATGGTCGGCCAAAAAAGATATGTCTAGCCTCCATAGGCAACACGTCACAAAGTATTTCATCTTCATATCGGCCAATGGTTATAGAGACTGAGACTTGGCTGTTCACTTTTAATTCACCACTCTCATTAAGCCATTGAAGCTTATAAGGCTTCGGGTGCTTCTTGACATTCAACCCCAGCTTCTTTACCATAGCTTCACTCGAAACATTAGTACAGCTACCCCCCATCAATGATAAGACTACACACTTTTCCTTGAACAAGACACCGAGTGTGGAATAGATTCTCTCTTTGTTCATGCTCTTCAGTCTTTGATTGAACGCTTAAATATCTTCTAGCAACTAACAAAGATCCTTGAGCCGGCATCTCCTCATACTCGGTCATGGGTTCAGGTTCTGATCCTTCCTCTTCAGATTCAATATCTCCATTATCCCTTAGAACCATGACTCTTTTGTTGGAGCACTCATTGGCGTAATGACCTCGGCCTTGGCACTTAAAGCACTTGGCATCTCTGGCATGGCTTGTGGATGCTTCGGTTTTGCCTTTGATGTCTGGTTGAGACACATAGGGTTTTGTCTCAGGTCTTGGTAACGCAAGCTGATTTCCTTCTCTTTGGTACGAGTTTGGCTTTTCCTCCTTCTGATAACTTGGTCTAGAAGTTGTAGAAACATCTTCATAACTTGGATTTGTCACAGGTTTCCTCTTGAGTTGCTGTTCAATAAGAATTGCCTTATGCAACATTTCCTCAATCTCCACATAATGCTGCATCTCAAGTTGGTCTTGTATATCTCGGTTTAGCCCTCCTAGGAATCTTGACATTGTGGCTTCTCTATCCTCAGTAATATCAGCTCTCAGCATAAGGGTTTCCATCTCTTGGTACTACTCTTCAACAGATCGATTGCCTTGAATAAGCCATTGGATCTTTTGATGCAACTCCCTATGATAATGGCTCTGCAAAAATATCTTCCTCATAATAGTTTTCATCTCTTGCCAAATCTATATAGGGTATTCTCTATTTCTTCTACTAAAAGTAACCAACTGATCCCACCAGCTTAAGGCATAGTCGTAGAATTCAGTAGCCGCGACCCTTACTCTATTGATCTTGGTGTAATGTCGGCAGTTAAAGAGTAATTCGATCTTCTTTTCCCACTCTAGGTAAGCGTCGAGATCATTTTTGCCATGAAATGAAGGGATTCATAGTTTGATTCCACCAAAATTGTCTTGGAGAGGTATAGGCTCTTCTCTGGTTTGTCTTTGGCGTCGATGATGACTTCTGGAAAAACTACTATCTCAGCTGTAATATGCTTCAGACGCATCATCTCTCGGTGGTCTAAGTTGTTCTCTGGTTCTCTCAGAGGATTGCACATGGTTCCTTCTCCTTGTTTCTCTATCGGTTTTCGCATCTGATTGTTGCTGCATCTCTTGTTCAAACAACTCAAACTGAGCAGCCATCTGTTCTTTCATCTTTGTGGTCATGGCCTCCATCAGAAGCTTGTTGTCTCGCTGTTGACTGGTTTCTTCTTCTTCTGTCATGTTTTCCTGAAATCAGAACACAAGCAAAGATCACTAGCTATCGGTTCTGTTGATGATGACTATTCGTGATCCACACAGAATCTTAATAGTCACTTTAAGTACTTAGAGAACAGATCGGTGAAGGAAATTGAAAAGACAAATCAAAACTGATGCAAATATGAAATTATCAGTCAGTTTATAGCACAGAACAGTTCGATCTATATGTCTAGTGATGTAAACAAGTGATTACTCAATGGATCTAACAAAAGTGATCATAAAACGCGGTTGTAATGAAGTTTATAGTTTTCCTTTAATCAATATGATGATTAAAACAGAAAGAAAAATCAGATATGAATCGACACAACCTGGTACTCGACGATCCAGTGATTAGAATGGTGCTCTGATACCACTTGATGTGATCCTGGTAATGATATGCCCTTGATCGACACTCTAATGACTGGAAACGAAAGAGATAGGCCTTGCAATCAAACAAAGATTGAATCAAGGGATGGGGAAGTGAATGGACACACACAAGAGTTGTGGAAGACTCTTGATACGCCGGCTTAAATCTCCTAAGTGATATGACACATACAAAGTTGATTCAAGTTGTTTGATGGATATAACACACCAGCAAACACGATCTTATTCTTTGAAAAGAGTTTGAGAATAAAAGATAAGATGGTTTGATACAAAGAATTAAAAGATAATATAAAGAAGAAAGAAAGAAGAGATGAGTCTGGCAAACATTAAACACATCTCGGAAATAAACAAAACACAAGCTGGCATGTTTGAATTTGATTTAGACGCTCCTCTTGTTCGGCACAGCTTAGACTTAAGGCTTTGTGGACTTAGGCGAATTAGAAATCCATTTTTGCCTCATTATAAACTTATCTCAAGAAAACCCAATTGGACAAAACTTGAGATAGGGAAAAAAGAGTACAAGCCTGAATCTCAAGCCCACTTAGCCGTTTTAGACTTGGATCACAATCAGTGTGCTTATGATCAGCTCCTTTCCCTCTTGAATCAGGTGAAGACCTTTGATGATAGCTCTAATGGTTTGCTTAAGCTTCTTACTCTTTGATCAAGTTATTGGGCCGCTTGGAACAATTAAAGCATCTTCTTGATCAGCTACTAGTTCCTCAGCTACTTGCTCTCCAACTCCAAGTTTCTATTGCTTTCCAGAATCACATCATATACCCATCTTTCTTTAGATATTATAGTACCATTTGCAATCAAATAATGACAAAAATTTGAATGATAAAGAGATATCATCACAAGATATTTTACAACATACCACCTCTAAAGCAAACCCCCCCCCCCCTTACCCTACATAACCATGATATCAAATGGTTACAACTTGGGCCGAGTGAGCGTCAGTGGAGATGGTATAGTTATTAGGATGGAAGACAGTTAACGATTCTTCGGTTATTTAGCTAAAGATCTGGTATTGTTTCCTCTCCATGCTGAATTCAACACACTTTTATGGGCCATCAGAGCTGTATTTCACTTTGGATGCATGTCAATGAATTTTTAAACCGAAGATGAAGAAGAGTGGCATGTCTTGGCTTTGAAACTTGATAAAAAAAAATTCATGCATGCTTCATTCTTCATAATTTCTCTATATCTTTTATTTCTCGCGTTACGATGTCCGATTGCCTTATAAAAAAATATGTACTGTTTTTTTTTTCTATGTAAATGCTTTGATTTCGAGCTACTTGATCTCCAAAAATAAAATTTTTGAATCAACATAATAATATAAAGTATTTTGCTTTAAAATATATATTAAATGTCGATATAGATAATATAGATTAGACATTCATGCCACATTTATACACTAGTTATTTAAATAATTGAGTAGTAAACTATTTTTATAAATAGTTAATGACAATTAAGTCGTAGGAAAGCATGGAAAATCACAATAAAGAGAATCTACCGACATATGGCCTCTATTGGCCGGTGCCATGTCGGACACGCGCAAGTTAGAATCCGATACTTATCTATCTATTTACCCCCACGTAGCCGGTATATTGTTATAATCATGCAAAGTAAACCCACGCAAACCAATCCATAAACGTCTGTCTTACCGTACCAAATACACGTGTGTATACGATTACTTTGAAAAGAAATCGAATTTCATCGGTTTGGTATCAAAACTAACAAAATCAATTGTCCCGATTCGAACCATGTGTTGAACCAAAATGTGTTAAACCGTTTTAATGTCTTAGACACTAATATAAATAAGAAGATCTTTGTTGATATTCTTTTATCTCTGGTCGTGTTGTTTCATTAAAACAAAAGAGCTTCGAAACTTCTCTTTACTTCTTCCTTTCATTGGTTTGGATTTGTTGTCTTCATCTTAATATGACTAAATTATGGACTCTCCTCTCTGCTCTGCATTCCATCGCTGGGTATTTCTTTGATTTTTTTTCGTGTTATTTTCTCTATATAAATATATATATATATATATCCTACAAATTTTCTGATAAAAACTAAATTCAAGAATTAACATTTTTTATTAAAATAACAGTGTGATTTCTTGTTTTGTTTCCTGTTTATGACAATATGCAGGCCTGTGGTAATGCTGCTTTATCCTTTGTAAGTAATTTCCTATTGCTTCTTCTATACATTTTGATTGGTTTTATTTTGAAGATTTAACTTAGTTTATTGGTAAAGATATGCGTCGGTGATAGCAATAGAGAGCCCATCAAAAGTGGATGATGAGCAATGGCTTGCTTATTGGATAATCTACTCTTTCCTTACCCTCACAGAACTCATCCTTCAATCTCTGCTAGAGTGGTAACAATAAATCATGTTTTGTTTTGTCAAATTTGTTTTTATGATAATAGTAATAAAAAGATGGAAATAATATTGAAAATATATATAGGATACCGATATGGTACTCGGCAAAGCTAGTGTTTGTGGCATGGTTGGTTTTGCCGCAATTCAGAGGAGCTGCTTTTATATACAATAAAGTCTTGAGGGAACAGTTTAAGAAGTATGGCATCCTCAAACCTAAGGTCAATTATTTCATCTTTTACCTTAATTTTCTCTTCCTTTCATTTCTTTATAAACTATCTTAAAACCATAAAACATATCGACTTGATTGGAAATTTTTATGGTAGATATGAAAATATTTGTGCCGGACCAACCTTGTCTTGAACATGTTGGCCTGCATGAAACCGAGCTTTCATCTTACAACCAAAGTTTTCTTATTTTCTTATCCACTAGTTTTTGTTAGTCAAAACTTTTTACCAAACGGATAGACTATGTAATTTCCAGAGGTTAATTCACCTTGTTTGTGAGCCAAAATCATAACCGGTTTTAAATGCTTAAATCAAGGTCAAAAGAAAAAATGAATTGGATTTAAAACATCATTGATTAAAAAAGAATTTGTTTCAAATGGGGCGGAGCAATCCATCACACCAATCCTAATTCTATTATTTTTCTTCAGATTCAAAGAAAAAACACCAATATTTAGCAAAAAGAAAAATAATAACAACAAATTAATTGTTAGTTTATTATTATATCAATGGTTTGTCTACTTTGGTAATAAATGGGACTTTTGATTTTCCTAAATAATAAATAGAAACACTATTGTATTCACGGTCATTGAAACTTTTGTATGTGGAGTACAGGTACAACTTCAGGCTGAGTGATGCGTCAAAAAGAGAAGGGGACATAAAGAGGCTTTACTGTTGGTGCCTTCAATTTCTAATCTTTGATGCTTTTTCTTTTTGTCTTCTTTTTTTTTTTTTTTTAGTTTACGGAAATATGTGTTTACAAGTGGACGGTTAATTAATTATCATTTCGTTTATTATAAGTCTTATGCCTGAAAGGCTGAAACTATATATGTGGAAATAAATTTAATAACGTCAAAATATTATAATTATCAGTCAAAATAGTTATATGCTCAATTTATTTCTTCTTAAACTCGTCATACTTATCACACTAATGTGCATTTCAAACTCATCATGATTAATACACAATTATACAACTCATTCTCAGTATTATCAAATAACAACACCACCTATACATCAAACAAAGTGAACCCAAAACTTAGTTATGTGTATGTGACTTAGCGGTTCGACTTCGACCCAAGGAGTTATGAGAATTTCCGAGATCTTTCTTTTTATAAAAGGTTTCATTTCAAGTAATCACTACACCTAACACCATACAGTTTGTATGATATTCCCAAAAATTGCCTAAAACTTGATTTTGGGGTTTACCATTAGGAGAAAAATCTAAGGATTCTATTCTTCAAATTATGACTATTCCAGAATTTGAAAAGTTTAAACCCGTTCTTTACGTCTATAGGTCTAATTCCATAAAACGCTATTCTGCAACTATTCAAAATATTTGTTTTCGCTAAATGAGAAATATCATAAAAAAAAACAGTGTAAATTTTACATGAATATTTAACCTACAAATTGGTCTTATGTTATTGTTGGAGGTAAAAACCGCACTCCCAGTTTTCTCCGGTACAAATCAAAATCAGCACGAATTAAACCCAATTTATAAAAGAATCGTACCAGGAAAATTGGGCCGAGCAAGTTCTTGAGCCAGACATAGCCCGATAAACCGAAGTTGGTCGACTTCTGCGCCAAGTGGAAAATCCGCTTAAGTTTCTCCACACCAAGGTACCCGCAAGGAAACGGGCAAGCCAAAGCCACAAACAAAACCATTATCGATGGTCTGAAAAAGCGACTCGATACGGCTAAGGAAACGTCGGCGGACGAACTCGACGGCGTCTTATGGTCTCACCGAACTACGCCACAACGTTCTACCGGTCAATCACCTTTCTTTCTCGCGTACGGTACGCTATGTGTCCGGTCGAACTCCACGTTTCTAGTATTTGTCGAACTATGCTCACTCAGCAGTCTGACGTGAACAAAGACATGATGCTCGACACAATTGACTTAGTCGAAGAACACCGCGAACGAGCGTTACTCAGGATACAAAACTACCAACAATTGGCAGCTCGTTACTACAACAAAAAGGTTAATGGCTGTCACTTCGAAGATGGCGATCTCGTACTTCGCAAAGTGTACCAGAACACTGAAGAAAAGAATGATGGAAAACTCGGTGCGAACTGGGAAGGACCATATCAAGTTATGAAAATCGTTAAACCCGGCGTTTATCAACTTATGAAGCTCGACAGAACCCCGATCCCGAGATCCTGGAACTCAATGCATCTTAAACGATACTACTACTAGATCGTTATCCTTCAAAAAAAAAAAAAAAAGCTTCCAAACTACTTAGTTCGGAGAGAATACCCTTTGTACTTAGAACTACGAATGGCTTGATCCCTTTAAAGGGTACGTAGGCAGCTCGTTACCGAGTCCAGCTATAACATAAATAAAATTTTATTAATCAAAGACGTCTAAGTTTTAGTTCGATACTCGCGAGATACCGAACTCTTACTTTACCAACATCGACTTCCTGGCCAGTTGTTCGATAGCATTCCACAGAATGCAAAACTAAAAAACCGAGATCCATCTTGCTAACACACACATGGTGCTGTGGTAAACTCCACACTATAAAGTCGGGGCCAGTCCCGCATTAAAAATTCTAAGTCACCAAGAACAATAAGCCGAGCCCATCTCGCACACTTAGGTTCAACTTAGAAAATCTTGAGCTCGTATCGTGTGTTTACAAGAGTTCGATCAAACTCACTCTTCCAGTACAATACGACTCGCTTGGGTTCCCTAGGCCGAGCTCAAATGCTTGCACCCTAAGCCGAATTCCTCAGATTCGCACCATAAGCCAAGTTCTCAACACTTGGCACATATAAGCTGAGTTAACGCAACTCGCTACCAAAAAATAAAACTACGTTCGAACCAAAGTGCCGATCTATTACTTAGAAAATTTCTCAAGAAAAAAAAAAGTGCGAAGATATTCAAAGCGGAATAATTAAGACGATATTAAAAACCTTCCGAAAGGAAAATAAGTTCAAAACATAAAAACCCACCAAGGGTTCGAAAACGAAAAAAGTATCACAAAAAAAAACATATAAAATTGCCCATTGAAGGGCAATTGAGTTCGATTCAGAGAAAAAGAAACATAAATAGACTAGATAGTCTTCGAAACAGCAGTTTGAACTGCGTCGAGCATATCTTCGTTTGAGCCGAACTGCTCACCCCTTGCTTGATCTTGCCCCTCAATAAGGTTATCAGCTGGAGCCTTCTTGCCGTCTTCTGGAAGCGGCGACATTCGCTTGTCCTCTTCGGTAAGGACGTATGCTTCAAAAGAATGGAATTCCTTCAGCGTTGCTGCGTGTTTCGCTTCCAGCTCGACCACCATCTCGGGGGATAACTCATACAAACCTTTGTTCTTCAGCTTTTTGATAAATCCGAGAACTCCGGTAAGTTGGTTTACCACCAAGTAAGGCTTACGAACCCGATCAGCGTCATCAAAGCTTCGAATGACATTTTCCAAGCGTTCGCAAGCTTTAGCATGGACGCTCCTTACCCGATCTCTCCAGCGAGCTACCAAACCTTGTAGTCGTTCCTTATCCTTCTTGAATTCCCGAGACAGTAAAGTTTGCGCCTCCATCAGCTCAGCCTTGACCGCTTTGAGCTCCGAATTCTCCTGTTTCAGCAGATCCACGACGTTGTGTGATAACACCGGATTTTGACCATTTTTATGGATCACTTTAATATCTTTTACAGGTGTTTTTACTCCATTTTCAAAGGTTTTCAAAGGATTTCTATGTTTCCGGATTTTAAAAGACTTTTCAGGTAATTTGGGATAAAGAGCCACAAAATGGAACAAAAAGACTCTTTTGGATAAATGCAGACCGTCAGAACTCTCATAGAGAGACGAAGACCTTCTCACCGTCTGATCACCCTCAAAATTGGAAAACTTATAGAAGAATCAACCAGCTTTCAAATGCACTTAGTTTGGAGACATTCCAACGGTTGGATCTCAAGATATTCCATTAGCCCCGGAGCCACTCGAAGACGACCAGGAAGTCACGCGACCGCGGCCAACAACCTATTTCCCGCGGTCAGAAGCTTCCCGACCGCGGCCAACCAGCCAATCCCCGCGGTCACGTCACTCCCGACCGCGGCCATCAAGCTCCGAACTAAAGCCCATATATCTGAAGCCCAAAGTCACTCTCAGCCTCGATTCCGGAACCCTAGAGACCATGGAGTATTGGAGACTATAAATACATGTCATTTAGGTCGTTTTGAGAGAACAATTCATACTTTACAAAAACCCTTTTTCTTCAGCCGTTTTTATGCGATTTTTTTAGAAGATTGTTTCAAGTCCGAGTTCTTCAATAGAGAAGCTTTCTTCATCTCTTTTCTTTACTGTTTTTCATTACTTTTATTAAAACCGATGATGATGTCGACCTCAGCCATGTCTGAGTAGATCCCGAGTTGGGCTTAGGGTTTCCGATAGGGGCTCTCATAATCGATTAAGACATCTAGGTTTATAGATCTGGGATTTTGACCTGTTCTCTGTTTATTCTTGTTCTTATTGCATGTATGCTTGATTGATCACCTAGTATCTGATCTAGATAGTTAGTGTTGCGAAAGTTTTCATTAAGTATCAGCCCTACAATGAAACATGCGATTTTTCCGTAGGAGTGGAAACCTACATGCGGCGAGATCGTGAGTATTGACGAGTCTTGTGCAGCTCTTGCGTTCTCTCCTTTCCAGGGCCAGAGTGGAAACCTACTGGTCATGGTTGCGAGAAACAGTTGGTTATGATCACGACAGTGACGTAGTCATACCGCCGTACTCTAGCTCTAGAACCCCTATATATCGATATCCGTCAATCCCAATCTATCTACCTTAGTGTTAAAACCGATTATGATCCCTTAGAGTTCCCAAAAGCTCAGCGTTTTTAGCCATAGTTTACAATTCCATCGATTTTATTTGCTTACTTAAAACCTGCATTTCAATTCCCTTAGTTCGATATTTTACTTGCTTTATTAGCTTTTCATTCGATTTCTATATTTTCTTTCTAGGATAGATTTATTTGCTTTCTCTTGTTTTAGTTTAATTCATGACAAACAACCAACCTTAAAAAACCAATCTTGTCTAGACATAAAGTTAAAAACCGTAGAAGAATACCAGGCACACAAATCTCTGTGGATTCGATCCCTAAATACTACAACTGATTAGCTGTGCATTGCGGCTTTCATTTGTTTCGTTAAGGGTAAAACTTGTTCCCTCACGCAGTTGACACGACATCAAATTTTTGGCGCCGTTGCCGGGGATTTGTTTCGCTGCCTTTTGCTATTTTTCTTGTTTTAACTTCTGTTCTAGACACCTGATCTCTAGTTCTTTCTTAAAGTTTTTCTGAATTATCTTTTCCTTCTTTTGTTTTTCTCTGAATTGCATGAATACCAGGCGTAGACTTGCAGGAGATATTCCAATTCTAGACGAGATAGACAGACACGAAAGAGAACTTCGAAGACTTAGACGAACGCAAGGAATGGCCAACGACGACCAGCCTGGAGATCCTATTAATCGAACTTTGAATATGGACCAAGACGGGTCCGAACATAGAGAAAACGAAGAGAATGATCACAGAGGAAGTGATCATGCTCGACAGAATGAAGAGGAGGATGAGGTTCCTCCAAGAAACCACTAGAACCGCAAGAGAGAAGAACGTGAAGACCTTGAAACACCCATCAATGCAGCCGATGGTGACCACCAAGGAGTGCAGCCGAATGGACGCGTTAACCGCCCTGTTCCGCCAGCAAATCAACACCGAAGACAAGCCAGGAACCATCGCATAGCTGATTTTGATGCACCTACTCAAAATTTTCAGAACTGATCTGCAATTCAAGTTCCATTTCCGAACCGGAATGAGTTTGAAGTCA